ATTAAATGTGCCAAGTGCTAGGAAAAAAGCTTTTAGATGTGCAGCTCCACTAACTTGGAACAGTCTGCAAAAGGAATGGAAACTGATCAATTTGGTTCCACTAAATGTTTTTAAAGCACGGATAGATGCTATCCAATCGAAAACTGTTGGAACCTGTAAATGTCACTAGCTATGTAAACTGTAGTCGCTGTAAATACGCTGTATGATGTCCTTTTTGTTTTTCTGTTGTTTTATGTTTTATACATGTATATTCATCTGGAACCATACTTGCAGCAGGTCACCTTTGAAAAAGAGATCAATGATCTCAATGGTATTCACCTGCATAAATAAAGGTTTGATGACCGTTTCCCCTCTTGGATTGAGCCAGGAGGATCTATTACTCTGTCAAAGTAAGCCTGGTTTTTAACCTTCTTTTAATGGTATATTTAATTGGTGTTTGAGCTGGCAACTATTATGTTTTAAAAAGACTACTGTCCACTAGTGCTTTTTTAGTTTTATTTTCTGTCAATTGTTTTCTTGTGTGCAGATTGTGGGCAATATAATTGACTGATTGAAGTGTTTGTGTTACAGGTTCCTCTCCCTCTGTGGGAGAAGCTTGTCTGCTTTCAGTGTAGGGACTGCACGGTGTGACACTTTAAAAGGGTGAGTAGACTAACTCTCACTGTAATCATTTTGTAGAAGTTGTGCTTTGAGTAGTGCATGCTTTTGTTCTGTTTTTGTCCCTCACAGTTAGCAGGCATTGTGACCTAGTGGACCAGACCTGCCCATCTGAGGAGGGGAAACCCACAATGTAATAGTGTAAAGTATGTTCACCCTTTTACCCGTTGACAGCTGCTGAACATTGACATTTTAACATGTATATTTGTGAAATAAAGCTGCATTCTATTTGGTTATGAATGCTTCTGTTATTGTCCTTGTGAAGGGAAGCCCCAACATCTGCAAAACAACTTTGGATTTAGATTGAGGGTCCACAGGTTCCTCCATCCTCTTAACAGGAGTTGGTGTTGTCAGCTATTTAAAGGTGACCCCAGCCACAGTTACCACATATGCATCAGAGAGGATGTTTTCACTGTTGGCCTAATGTATTATTGGTCAACTGAACTAAACACAACTACACCTTAACATAAGCAAAAACAGACTACCTGCTCACCTGGAGATGTCGCACTAAACCTTCTATACATTTTTGACAAGGAGTCAATTATATTAAATCAAATCTTGGCAGTGCAAAACATTGCCAGACCAAAACAAATGTTCTTTACAATCTCCAGAAGATGTTGGTCGGGAGGGATAATGGTCTGTTTTTAAAACGCTTTCTAGCACGTGAAGACCAAGCTGCCCATCACACTAAAGGTTTGTAAACATTGAATTGAGTCACCACATTACCACAAATAATTCCCAGCTTGTGCAAAATGAAGATGAACATTAGGCAAAAAAGACCATAAGCTTGTGTGGAAATATCGTATAAAAAATAATGTATTCATTTCAGGGGAGACTTGTTGCTTTGTGTCTCATGTTTATTTTCATTCACAACTGATCGTCGCACTGATTTACTCCTCTGCTGCCCTCCAGTGGCCACAAGGTACAACAGGTACTTTTACATTACAGCATGTAGCTCCAAACCACAAAAGTGTTTCCTTCTGAAAATGCACTTGCTCTTCACTAAAGCTCTAAACATGGCACATGAACACAAATATAAACTATATACAATAAAATCTGGAATATAGTACAATACGAATGCTCTAATAACGGTGAGATCTAGTATTTTGATGTGTGGGCATAATGTACCTGGGCTGCTTCTCAGGTCGACTATTTTAATTTCCTCGCTCCTCGGTCCTCGGTCTCACCGGAAGTTGATTTGCCTGCGCCATCTTGAGTACCGTCCCATGGCTCTTATTTCTGCCGGAGGACCGAGGATCGAGGAGCGAGGAGCGATCATGGAGGAGCGATAACCGAGGAACCAACAGACCATCCTCCGATGAAATCCTCAGATACTCACCCCGCCCCCTTACTGTGTATCGCTCACTGATTGGACGAGGCAGTGCACTGATCTGATGCTTCTTGACATGAGAGCAGAGTGAAGAAAATACATGAACCTCACGGGAGTCACTCCTCAGTTTATACCGTGTTTTGTTTCAATTCATGTATCATTTAGTTACAAATATGTGATATATCTGAACAACAAAGTGGTCAAAAATCATTTAATTCATTTTTTGGAAACATTTTCATGATCGCTTTTTTCGTTTTACATTTTCATGTATTGTCATTTCCATTCAGTCAGTCATTAAGTGCTATTAAAATGTTAATATGCTACATAGAGAGGCGTGTGGTGCAGTGGGTTGTGAGTTGGTATTCGGATCAGGAGGTCACAGATTCAAACCCCACTGCAGTCAGCATGTCGTTGTGTCCCTGGGCAAGACACTTCACCCCAAATTGCTCCTGTGGGGATTGCCCACAGTATTGAGTATGTAAGTCGCTTTGGATAAAAGCGTCTAACAAGGGACATGTAATGTAATGTAATATCCACACAAACACACAAAGTGTGCAATCCAATGAATGTTAATCTAACTGGGTTTTGATAGATAACATATCTCTTTTTCTTCTCTCAATTATTTTATTTATATTGTGCACTCTAATCAATATTAATCAAACTATTGTTCGTTTATAAATGTTAAGAATGGCGTTTAGCTTTTTTGAGAATTAGTTCTTATTTTATTTATTGGGGTCTACAACAGATGATACAAATGTTTGTGTCAGTAAATGTGTGCTAACAGAGGCGGGGGGGTGTGTGGAAATAACGGGGACAGAGCTGCTGTCAGACGATCAGCTGTGCAGCGTCATCACAAACGGACGTCGCTTCACGTGACGCTCCGGAGGAAAGGACGTCCCATTGCTCTTAAAACTCATTTCCCTGCTTCTCGTGGTTTCCTTGCGTCCCTCCATGCTTCCCTGGTGGGAGGGACTAAACGCAGGGAAACGACGCAAGTGAGGGAAGCAAGGATTTCATTTAATCGACCTGAGAAGCAGCCCTGGTAATAGTCAAATGACTGCCACAAGGCCTTTCTATGACACTGAATAGGAACAGACCACAGCTCTGATTTAGTACATCTGGCTGACCAACAATTGCTGAATAGGTTTAACAAAAATAAGCTTTAAAATTAGATTATGTTTCTCAGAATAAAGAGAAATGATGTGCCTCATGTCAAACAATAAATAAATCTGCAAGACAGACTGACTCTTTTGACTTTCTTAATGTCACACCAGCAAAGCCTTGTACCCAGATGCTAAATTACTACTAAGCTACATTTGAAACATTCAGCACTTTTCTATAACTTAGAGGCTGCACTGTCTGCTGTTCAGCAACAGTTAAGGAGACTGACTTTAAAGAGGAGATATACTGTCTAAATGTATGAATAATGCATTGTTTCCTTGTTAATAAAGAGAACCATTATGTTGCATAAACACAAAAGGGCCTTTCATACACAGTAAGTGTACATCTGTCTTGTGGCCAAAGGCACGTTAACAGAGTAACAGGTGAACAGTGACCTGGTTCAATAAGATGTAATATCTCAGTTGCTAAACACAAGCTATGTGAGATGCACAAACTGAGTGATCATTCCATGTGTGATCAAAACCGTAGGTGTGGACAGTCTTCATTTCCATCATTGTTGGGCTCTCCTCCTGAACTCTAAGAGACAAAGATAATGAACCCTAAATTGCTCCTGATTGCATGGCGATCAGTGTGAGTGTGAATCTTGATCTCCCTTAGCAAGTGCATGCACTATATGAATGTGTGTATCCTGCTGTTCAACTTGACTTATGTCAAAGTCATTTGAGGGGTCACGAGAGTGGAAAAGTGCTATAAATGCTGCCAATTTACCATCTCCTTCCTTTCCATGATCTTTGAACTGAAACTGATACTCTTGTTTTGGCTTATTTTGGGAGTTTAAACTTGTAATACTGTTGTCCAGAGTGTGGCCGTTTGCATTAGTCAACAATACACAGAAGGATTGTGGGCACTTTTGTTTCACCCGGTTATTTTCCAATACCTCTTCAATCAAATAACACACAAAGGAAAAACCCAAGAAGTTTGACTTTTAAAATTATGATCAATCAACCAATGGTTTGTTTGAATAATTTAGATTGTTTTTGTTTCCCAACAAAAAATAATAATCATTCATTTTATATGAATTGCATTGAAATCTGAGACGCAGGTGATGATAAACATGTCTCTATTCACCATGCTGCCACTTATTTAGTTTAAAAATCCAGTTATTTCCAGCCATTTTAGCCGGGCCGGCTAAAATAATTGGTCGTGCTTTTTTTTTTTACAGCGCCACGGCTTCCACAGATGAAATTTTTTGTATGTATCTATATTGTCAAAGCATTTAATGTATTCATTGCTATCGGGATGTTAACAGCATGGAATATAACAAAAAGTGTTTCTGTAGCAAATCAATTATTATAAATCAGACTTGTGTTTTGGTCCACTGGTTAATTTAACTCCTATGTTCACTCTAGAAACTCTTTTTCTAGAAGAGAAGAGATTTCAAAATGATATAACATCTCTGGGTCTAGCTCATGGATGTAATAAGAGGTCTAGCTGCTAAATGCTGCACTTAGCTTAGCTAGCTAGGTCGTCGTTCGTTTAGTCACCAACTGTCACTGCTGGTGCTGATCAGGAAGTGAACACTGGGTTAAAGATTGATTTTTTTTACAGATAAAAGCTGGTTGCTGTGGTTAAGAAATGTAACTATAATTGCAGTATTAGTAGTTCTAATCATTCAAAGTACTGCCAGCTCAATTGGCCCCACAACAACTTGTTTGTACGTTTATATTGGATTTCCCACATTTAAAAAAAGTCATAACAATGAACATGTGACTTAGCTGTTCCCTCAAAGGATTCTGATACATCTTTGCAATACAATATCGAATACCCTCTTTTACAGTGCCGACTGCTACTTTCACTGAATGTCAAATTACAAGACAAAATCCACACCAACTCACAAAAGTCACAACTTTATTGCACCTTTAACTGCAACTATAATGTGGAAAGAGACACTTTCATTATGAAAGGTCTCCTCCATGGTCAGAAAAAGTGGTGCAAAATATAGAACCATCAATGCAAACATGTGGACCGTCCATCCACACTGGTAAATGTTCCTGTGTTAGTTTGAGTCACACGCTTTGCCGATTTCACAGCAGACAAACATGTCCTATGGAAATTAGACTGCTGTAGTCTCTTGTACTGTACACACCACAGTGACATAGGGAAGGTCTTGCACGAAGACAGCTCTCTCACACGCGAGGAAACACATTTGCAGATAATTGCTCAAGTTAACGTCCACCCATTGATCTGAGTATTAGTAGCACATAAAAGATCTGTGTCTTCTTCTTTAAAATTATATATTTATAACATTAAATCCTATACTTTTTTGATAGCCAATTCAAGGCAACATCTCTAGAATGAGAAGAAATGGATGGGCAAATCTTTACAGCGGTGGTGGGAAACAGGTAGCACAAGATGGACTGTACACGCTTCTACGCTGGCAAAGCATTTTTTATAACGCTAGTTTCTCTACGCAGCTGTGCCAGGATTGGTGCAAGATGATCCCATGGTTTCCACACCTGAAATATTTTGTAAAAAACAATTTCTACAGGATGTACAAGAAGCAAAATGGTGGTACTGGATAGGAACTAGTCTAATATGAAACAGGGGAGTCTGATCCGAGATGAAAATGGGATACGGGTTGTCTGGTTTCCTGAGTCCTAGCCCAGTTTCTAGGTGACCAGCATGAGCATCAGAAAATTGCATAGAGATATAAGATACAAGGGGGAAATAAATTATTAGCATGTGGCAATCCCAGTCTAACAACGTGCCTCAAGTATAAAATGCAACCCCTTTATTTCAGAACATTGGTGAAGAATAGTTTGTGAAAAGTCAAATCTCCAGAGCTCCTGAACGCTGGACTGATGACGGTTCCTCCCAACAACCCCAACCTACATCCTGCATAACACATTATGAGTTGTCAATAACCAATAAGGTCAAGGTAAACAGAGGCTAATCATCCAACAAGTGGTTCATGAACACAACCACTAACAGTTTAACCGTTAATAGAAATTGACAGAGCATTCTTTTGTGGCCTTAAATGTATCTACATTTAAATCTGAAATAAACAGGATTTATAAAGGAGAAAAAAAGAAATTACAAACAAAAACTAACAACTAAAAACAAAATGTACCTTTGTATATCTTTAACATGCATACTAAGAAAATAGTGGCAATTTTAAAGCTTAATTTTACCAACAATATGCAGGCAAAATTTGGTCCTTAAAAACAAGCCACGTGGCACTGACACTGCAGCAAAATAAAATGTCGGCGAACAAAGGTATAAAATAGGTAAATCATACAGAAATTTATAATAATATATTTTTGATATTTGTAATTTAGAATAGAAGAATTTTAGGAGTTTTGAAAATGTCCAACAAACGGAGCTCTTATGTCTGCAAAACTTGGCTCTGAGATTGTGTTTAGTTTCCAATACTAGACAGCCGAAGTGTGGCAGATATACGATCTCATACTACACATAGCAACTATTTAATTTATAGAAGCTGAATATTGTTAGGGCAAAAACAATAGGCTCAAAGGAGGCCAACAAATTATTTTTCATATTAATTTGATATGGAGGTGTAGAGGTTTCTGTTACATATTGCATACTTAGAAAAGCTTGATTCAGTATTTTTGATTAAAAAGGGGATAAGATTGGTCAACACTGAAGCCAATATTTCAGGTTTGTTTAAAATTGAGATCAAGACTGTCAAAGTAGTCTGTGGTTCTTTCGTGTAATTTGGGTCTCAACACAGGAAAGAGCGATACAAAAATAATAATAAAAATAAAAGAGTGAGTAAAGGTACAGAAGTTTGGTATTCAGTGTTGTCTCAATGTCCAGTCAGCATGAGCCTCAACAGCAATCTGGACTCTCAGCGACGGACTCCAAAAGCTCTCTTCCCACCGGGTGTGACAGACCACTTGCTCCGCCTTTCCTGGATCTGTTGGAAGATGCTGCTGCCACCTCTCCACTTCTCTCTTTTATAGTTTTTGATTTTCTTCACCTGTTCATTCAGACAAAAAAACAGGAGAAGATGAGGCCAAGATACAGCAAAAATGGGTCTACGAATTAAAGAAAAACTGATTTAAAATTAGAGTATTGTTTTTTTTGCTCACCTTTCCCCTATCAAAGTCTTCATCCCACTCATCGATCACAGTGTCACACTGGGCTTGGCGGACATCGTCGGCAGCATCTCTACTAATAGCAGAGACATCTCCATCCCAACTAAGGACTAGAGAAGACAAACAAAACATAACATTCATATACAATTCTTTGCAAAGAATTATCAAAGTTTCTTTCATACAGATGATCAGATTAACGTCCTGTGTTTTACCGTTGGCTCCGTAGGCCTTGTCTGTAGAGTTCTTCAGCAGCTCCTCCACCACACCACTTGTCTTTTTGCCGTCCCAGGCTCCAGGAGCAGCAGGGGCCGCAGGGGCCGGGGTGTCTCCTACTTCACCTCCATCAGCCGCTGGCGCCTTGCTGCGTTTGTAGCCGTCTTTCACTTGGCTGTCCCACACCACCACTCTGGCTGGAATTTAGAAAAACAATCCAAAACCAAAGAATTTATCTTGAAATGTCCTGAGTAATGCTCTCAGTGAAATGATTGGTCACATAAATGAGGCAGTTGTGGTGCAGCGATTTTCTGCAAATGGCTGTATTCAATACAGAGGGCTATAGAACATTCTGTGTTGGCATGGAAACATTATGTAAGTGCATGCTCGCATACCTGTGTTGTTTTTACTAATTTCTCCGTTCTCCTTGGTGTTCTCGTTGGAAAGAGGTTCCACTTGTTCAGGCTCGTCGTTGTGTCCATTCGAGCAGCGCCTACTCTCCTCCCACAGGCTCACCTCTTCTTTTAGCTTCTTCTTCCTCTTCTTTAATTTCTTTTTCAACATTATCAAATCTGCAGTATTATTCTGTGTGACTGTGACCTTCATCTCAGAAGTTCTGTTGGGGAAAAACAAGTTAAATAAGTTTATTGCTCGCTGGTTGCATTGTGGGAGTTACTACAAATGTCTGGTTGTTATAGAAACACAGTTTTGAGCTTCTCCTTTCAAAATTATAAGCTTGAAATTATAAAATATATTTGGAGACAAAAAAAAAATGCATAACTAAACCAATCCTAAACGTAACCCCACCTCTCTGGTGCGGAGCATGCTGAAGATGTATCCTCCAGAGCCTCCTCCACCTGCAGCTTCTTTTTCTTCTTCTTCTTTTTCAACTTCACAGAGTCTTTTCCCTGGTCTTCCGGATTTGACTCGCAAAGCGTTGGGGTTTTGGTAGCTAACTGAGGTTTTTGTTTGGACTGCTCTGTATCTGGATGGGATGTAAGGCTCCACATACCACCCTGGCACCAGTCCTCTTCCTGGTTGGGTGTGTCCAGGTGAGACAGGACACACTCCCTCTCCTTCGCTTCCTCTCCGTCTTCATGCGCCTTCTTTCGCTTCTTCTTTTTATTCTTGCGCTTCTTCTCGCTGGCTGACTCCACGGGGTCGGCCTGTATCACTTCAGCTGCTGGCTCTGTGTCACCCTCCACCTCAGAATGCCTGCGCTTCTTTTTCCTCTTCTTCTTTTGGTTGACTTTTTGAGCGCTGTTGAGGTCTGGTTCTTGGACCAAGGAGCTGAGGTTGTTGAAAGACTTGGGGCTCTTTGGGCCGGCATTGTGAAGCCCGTTGGTTTTAGGAGAAAGGCTGGCGTTTGGTTTTTGTGGAGTGGAGAGAGGGGACTGTTTCTGAGGGCTCTGCTGTTTGAAGGATCCACTTGAGTGGGCCAAAGGTGAAGACTGGACTTTAGGTGAATGGAATGGTACAGCTCTGTGAAGGAAAAATGAGAAAACGTCAGGATTTCATCTGCTAATTTTCAGTAAGATGGACACATTTCTTGCGCATTTCCTATAAGATGCGGGGTTCAGAGTTCATACCTGTGAGTGTGGGTAGGTGAGGCAAAGGTGAGGGGGTTAAGTTGATTTTGATGCGTGGGGTCACTGGACAGCTGGCGTGGCAAAGGGGGCAGAGCATCAATGCTGCTCGGTCTCCGGCTGCGAGCCTGCAGTTATCGACATAAATAAAAACTTGGTGGTCTAAAAAAAAATAGCCATGAATGTGACAAAAATAAGGAAGAGAATCAAAATAAGGAAGAGGGAGATTAAAGGGATGGCAGGAAGGAAAAGATGGAGGGAGGAAAACAAAGAGGAAAGGGTATGGCAGAGAAGAATTAGAAATGGTTAGAAAAAAAGAACAAACTGAAGGAAAAGAAGACAAACTCTAAACACGAGCTATCACGTGGTTGATTAGACAGGCAAACTGGAGAAGACACACGTCACGTACAGCATAAAATAAACTACAAGGGGACAGTTTACTTGCCTCTACAAAACTACTTCATGAAATCAATAGTCAAATTATGGATAGCAGTGTTGATTCAGGCAACAGGAAACCAAGGTATCATGAACATTCACTAAGACAGGAAGTGATGCTGTGGCTGTGGATGGGAATGAAGTTCACCTTCTTGGCTGACAGGGCCAGTTTCTTGGCAGGTGGAGGTGACATGGTGGCTTCAGACGTGATGTTGTTGAGGGCCGGGGGTTTTATTTTAGCTGTCTTCTGCTCCTCTGTGCTCTGAGAGCGCTCCACGCTCTTGGCTGGAGAGGCCAGGCTTAGGGAGCCTTTCCGGGGGGTGGAGGGGGTCTCTCCGACAGGCGCACTTCTGGTCCCCACCGAGTCCTGCCCGGGACAAAGGCAACCATAGGCTGTGGTTATGCTTCTGTGCAGCTACACCTGGTCTTAAATGGATTCTATACATCCCTTTGAATCTCCATATTAAGAATATGTTGTAGTGTCCGAGCCATTTTACACATTTTTATTCATCCAAATTCAGCTTAGTTAATTCAGTATGCATTGTAGTGTTGTCACTATACCAACATTTTGGTTTCGATACTTTTCTTTTATTATTTTCATGATCAATACAATTGTAGTTTATCTGTTAAGTGTTTTCTTACAACATGGTCTCTTCTTTATACTTGAGTTTATGTGATTTCTTTGATAGTTAACAGTAATATAAATAATTATTGACAAAATGTATATTGCAGATGTTAGCCACATTGGTAAGTTAGCTAAAAAGATAGCCATATTAGACAGTTATCATTGCCATTAATTGCCTCGTCAAACTACGAAAACGTTTGTTTGTCATAAAATAAATTACACTTGTTTGACTTAGATTTGAGGGCATGGGCTTGAGCATGATGTAATTATGTTATCTATCACATTCGCTAACCTGTCTGTCTTTACATTCTTTAAACAGCTCTGGATGCCGGTCGGCGGGTGCTTAGCCAAGTTATATAGGCATTATACATTACATTATATGATGTTGTGCCACTACTTGATGTTGTGCGTACATGTATTTTTGCTATTAGTATAACATTTGCAGTCAAGCTTAAAGAAAATGAACAGGTAAATAAACAAAAAAGAATATAGAAAAATAACTGCCCTAGTTTTATGTTATCATATACTGAATATCTTTGGGTTGTTCAACATTTTCAAATTATTTGGAAAAAACAAATAAATGTAAGACTTAATCTGTGGTTTAATGGAAATGTGATGGACATTTTTCACAACTAATCACTACTCAGGAAACTTAAATAGCTTGTATACATACCACTGATTAACATCTTACCCCACCCTACAAATACTCTGCATCTAAATGATGTCAGTCAGTGATAAAAACCTTGGCGATCCTGCCTTTGAACTAAAATGTGTGTTTTTCTTTCCTTATCCTGTGCAAATATTACCTTGGAGTCCGATGTGTCGGCAGAGGAGGAGTCAGACAAAGACTTGAATGAGGTAGACGCTGACATGCCTCTGCCTTCGCCGCCCTGCTTCTTGTCTCCCTCCGTCCTGCTGACCCCGTTGGAAGGGGTGGGGGTGCCGCTGCGGGACGGCCCCTGGCTCTGGGGGGACGGCTTCTTCAGCTTCTTGAATGGCTCGTCGATAAACGTGGGTCCACCTGGCAGCTTTGATGTGCCGTTGGACACCCAGTTGGAGAGTCTGGGCACTGGCTGAGAGCCCACACCATTCCTGGAAATGGGGAGGCCCAAACCACCGTCCATGGACTGGATCTTACGCAGTTGTGCAGGCTCAAGTTTCTGAAAAAGGGGTGCAATGTGTTTAGAAGTGGTATTTAACAGCTGCAGCCCATAACAATTCCATACACCAGCTAAAGACACATCTTTTAGATTTGCTTTTTATTAGCAACCCCCCACTTTAAAAGTTATTTTAGTCTTTATTATTGACCTACCTTCATATTGTTTTATTTATTTTATAGTTTTTAATCTCTTTATTTGTATTTCTGTGGTTTTATATTGTTGCATCTACTCAGTTGTCTTGTGTCTTATCTGTCAGAGAGAAACCATTATTTATTTTTATTATCATACATTTTACCTCCTTGTGTCTATTAACCTGATAATATATTAAAAAAATATATATTTTGCTGCATTTACCTTTAAAGTGCTTAGAAAATAATCTGAGGGGAATTTCTTGTTGTTTGTTTTTAACTTGTGATGTGTCATTTTATAAAGCACTTTGAGCTGCATGTGTTGTATGAAATGTGCTATATAAATAAAGCTTTATTATTATATGTCCAACAGTGAGCTGGATGTAATCTAGCCTCTTACCTTAGTAATCTGCGGGGAGGAGAGAGGCCCGTTCAGATTGGCCCTCTTAATCTGCTCAGACGACACACTGTTCTTCCCAGAATGCAACATGCCCTGCTTGGTACTCTGTCCATCTGCATTCTTCTTTGTTTCAGGGATCCTTTAATGTACAAATAAAGACTCCGGTTTATTTAATGAAATAACCAGACAACAGCTTGTTTGATCTCTTGCAGCCCTCTACATCCTCTTACCTCAGGTAGAAAAGCACGTAGGCCTGTTGGTTCAACACCACCTTGATGTTACTAGAGTGCGCCATTGAATCATTCATTTGGTACCATTGCCCGTTGCTTGCCTAGGAGGAAATAAGAAAGGTATTCCTTTAAAATAAAGCAGGCTTTGAAATGTTTTAATTGAATCTTTATAAATCAAACCATTAAAAAAGTTGAGAAACACAGGAAGCAGAACACAGGCTCGGTGAAATCAGTTATTTTCCTTTGAGATCAGATTAGAATTTGTATGCAAAACACAGATACAAATCAATAGACACGATATATACGATGAAACAATGAGAATTTGTAACCGGTCAAATTTCCCAATACAATTTATAGCGAGGTTGTTTTCTTTGTAATTTTTCTGGCTCAGGGTTTCCCACACATAGACTATACTTGGGCGGGCCGCCCAGGTATATTAACGGCCGCCCAAGTATATTTCGCGACCCATTATTTTTTTATTTATTTTTTTTTTTTAATAAGTTTTTTTTTTTTTTTTTTTTTTTTTATTCGTCCGTGACCACGACGCCATCTGCGATTGATTAACTTGTGGACAATGATCCCTCGCTCCCTTGCTCTGATCTCGCCTCGTTAAGTGGCCTGCCTCACACAGGGTGACTGGCTGTCTACATGATGTGGCCTGCCAACATGGCCACTGTCATAGAGATCATAAATCAAAGCCCTTGATTGGTCTCTGTGTGTCATTTAAGCTCGGGATAACCTCAGCTCAAGTGAGGTAAAGGACTCTCTGAGTGTTTAGATAGTTAACTTAGTTTAAGTTCTCAGTGGGTCTCAAACAGTGTGGTCACCATTTATGTAAACACATATTTCCATTTGAGAGGGTAGTGATTGATCTAATGGATAGTGAGGTGGGCTGAAGATCGGAAGGCTGTGAGTTCAAATCCCGCCAGGAACACCACCACTAGTGTGCCCTTGAGTGCCATATTTACGCAAAATGATTATACAAAATGAAAACTTTTTTTTTTTTTTTTGCGCCCCCCCCCGGCCGCTGCCACCACCCGCCCAAGTATATTTCAGATCTGTGGGAAACACTGTGGCTGTATTAGGCCATTGATGTACAATAAAAGGAAAGATTGTTTTGTGGCAATACTGGACACGTATACTGCGATTTAGGGATTTTCCAGGTAACTTGTGGGATTATTCAAAAGCAGATTGCTTATATCAGCTGTTTATCAATTGAATTACCCAGAAATATATTATATTTTGTTGTATATTGATAATTGTGTATAACATATATGATATAAAACAACATATAGCACATTACATACCATGATAGAAGATTCTTTTGAGCTAGAATAAAATAATCTAGGTACAAAGTTATGCAACTGAAGTCATACAATATTGGAAACAAATGCTTATGTAACAAGTTAATGTTACTGCTGATAAGTGTAATTCAAAGCAGTTACAAAAAAAAAAAGAGTTTTTCATTCTTAGAAATGAGATGTAGCTACTTACTACTTATATGCTTTATCCTGTATATTTTTGTATCATTCCTTCCGGTATGATGTTAGAACATTTTTAGTGGTAATTTGATGGTTAAGATGTTTAATTTGATACTTAAAAAGACTCTTTTAAGACAGTTTGCCTTTATTGTGTTCATTTCGTTATTGTAAATCATCCTCAGATCTGGACTATCTTTTATTTATTTATTTTGTTTAAAGATTGTGCCTCTGCCCAGCTTACCTTGACATAGCAGTAGTAGTGGCCAGCGTGACAACTGTAGCCGGAGTGCACCAGCACCGCGTAGAGGCCGTACATCACAGGGTCGCCTGAGCTCTGAGACATGTAGGGGCGGATGTTCAGGAACTCTGGGTACCCAACATCCTGGGAGGGGAAACCAAAAACTGAAATATGAGATCACTGAGAAATTAAAACAGCCATTTTGAAAACAGCCAATAGTGTGAAAATGCACCTTTGTTATTTTCCCGCCGCTGAAGTTGGCAAACCTCTTCAGAGAAACGGTCAGCACGTTAGATGGTCGATGGATTGTGAAGCGCTTGGTCGCCGGAACCTTCTTTTTGCACCTGGAGAGAAACAATGAAAGTCATGACTCAGAAAGGTTATATGATAAATGATATAGTTTTACTAACTTCTGCAGAATCTATAAGGGCACTTACTTGGCACACATGTAGGCATTCTCTCCACATAGTACGTCTGGTTTAACAAACAGTTCAAGGGCACGAACAATGTTTGCTGCTTGCTGAAAAAAATAACCCACAGAGATACACGGTGTTAAAGAGTGAAGTTTATACAATTAAGAAATAATATTTCCGTGGAAATAAAAAGGTTAAATAATAATATCTTGTTTACCATACCCGAATCTCTACAGCGATGTCCAGGTAAGGGTCATACGTGTCGGACACACTTTTACAAATAGAGCATTTCACTGAAAGACAATTAAAAAACAAATGTGACTATTAGGGTCGGTTCAGAAGAAATCAATGTTAATACTATTAATATTTCACTAATATTTAAATTTCAAGTACTGTATATCCTACAATTTAACATGTTGCTGCCTAATTGCTGATACATTTCCATATTTTACAAACGAATGTATAAACTGAAAATCCCTAATTATTGGGAGGGAATTTGATACAAAATATTGAATATCTGAAAATTGGAGAGTTGAGACATGCGGCTTAACTTATACTTTAACATTTCAAATGCAAACTATGAAAGGAAATATACTAGTCCTTATGCAAACAGCATTCTTTGAAAGTGTAACTACACATTAAGTCAATCTATTTCATATTTTGCTGATGTGATTTCTTTAAAAAAAAATAAGAATACTTGTAATCTTATTTTGCTCCGTCAGTAGGTTAAAAAAAAAAAAATGTATCTTAACTTTTATTACCACCAATTGTTTGGTTTAGAAATATGGGTGCATTAATATTGTTAAAAAACATCTTTAAGTTTTTCGTACAAACCACAGTCTGCCTTTGACTTTGGATCAGCATGTGTTAACTCAGCATAAAGAGAATTGAACTACATCAAGTGGTTTTAGCATTATTGATTTAGTTGACATGTCTTTAGTCAGCTGGGTAAAGAATCAATACACAACACAGAAGAATCAAACGTCAAATTAATAATGAGTCAACAGCTCTATAGGCGATATTTGTTGCCTTTCTTTCTTTGAAAAAAAAGCCAATACCTCTTGATCTGAGGTAACCTCCAAAGATCTGGTGGACCAGGGTTGTGGCCTGGGTCTGCCTGTCGAGCCTAAAGACAGGAAGAGAAACTGGTCAGAACTACTTTCATCACATTGCTGCTGTTTACCGAAGGTAGCAGACACTCGACAGTGAGCTTTGCTACCGGGTCTAGCTTCACAAAGAGGCCCAGTAAAACATACACTTGTAACACTTTAAAGAAATAATTGTAAAGCCTTACTTGGGGTAGCCATTGAGACAGGCTTTCTGCATGGCGTCGATGGTGTACCGCAAAAATTCGTGAGCATCCTCTTGGCTTCCAAAGCGAAAATGTCTGGCAATTTCTGTGGGAGACAAAAGAAAATGTAAGCTTTGTGCTAATTAAAGTTTTCCAACCCTGAATGCATTAACAAAATGAGGACAATTAATCAAGTTTTAGCCACATCACTTCCTGAAAAGGGAGAATTTAGAGAAGATGTTGCAATATCTTCAACGGGCAAGTAATCACCACTGCTTTAGGCGGATTAACCGTCGCTTTCGCCGAGTGCACATAAGTGTTCATTGCATACATCTTAAATATGTATGGCCTACATTTTTCATACAATTCACAGACATGATGACACCAAGAGGACAGCAGAGCAGCTAGAGGAAACATCAACAATCTTTAAGTCAGTAAGGGGCTTAATAAATGATGAGCTGTCATTCATAACTTCCTGTCATTATTAAAAGGATGCAAAAGGCGCAAACAACCTTGTGTTGCTTTTTAAATGATGGCCACTAGACGGCCATTATTTCTATAACCGTTTTTTCATGATATTTACGCAAAGTGGTGAAGCAAATTATAGAGTAGTAATCAATGTAGATTATTTATTTAACATGTTGTAAAGCTTAGAGTACACTCTACTGGCTACTGACAGTTACTATAACAAAGGCTAGTTCCTTATGCATCTCAGACCTGCAGTAAAATGACCGTGACCTCATAAGCAGCTTACGACCTCAGCAGACTGATATCTCATCTAAAAGCCTCACATTAGAGATAATGTACTGTTATTCCCTAATGGAAAAGGGCCTTAAGAATGATGTGGTCATCACCACATTCCTGGCATAGCATCGCTGTGCATTTATGGCATTGAGTCACCCCTGAGTAGGAAAGAGGAATAAGACACCATGCTCTAATGACCCGTTCAGGGTGATGCTCATAGAGGGGGGGAAACAACATCTAGAATATATGGGCATATGATTGGATGGTTATGGTTTGATTCAGTTTGAGAGGCAGTAACCGTGAGATTCTAGGGTGCTCTCAGTATCAGTAAGCTCTTTTGATTTTAGCATGATGACATTGCACTGTATTTGTATTTTGTGTTGGGGGGGGAGGGTCGTGCAGAGCAGGGGGCACAGATGTGGAAATCTCCCTGTATGCATTTACATTGTTCTAGCTGTAAAGGGATGGCCACCAGCTAGATGCATGTGAAAGGGAGACCATGAAAACACAGAGTACATCTCAGAGTTCTGTTTAAAAAAGGAGTGAAAATGGTGGACTGCACATTTTTGTGCTAAAGCTGCTCCTCTCAGCCTGCAGTCACAAGGAGACAGAGAGGGCATTGGGGAGGGAGGGGGTTACGGGGGAGGGAGAGGTGTAAAAAGAGGCGCAGGAGGTGGAGAAATAATTCCAGCAGCACATAAGGAAGTAGCAGGCAGGTAGGGAGGGAGGCAGGCTTTTGTGAGACAGCAGCACAGCACCTCACCATGTCAAGGTGCAACTCACACCTCATCTCTTCTCTACATGGTGTTCATTCACTCTCACCGCTCTGCACTGCAGTGACTGGCTGTCACATGGGACGCTGTGGCCAGTGTTGCGTCACCTCGAGCAGTTTTAACAGGAATTCAGGTGTCACTCCTGACCTACATTGATCCTAGCGAGCTCAGAAACAATCACAGGGTGTTGAAGGAAGCTGGGGGTTTACTTACTTTTCAGGTCTCTGATGAAGGAGACAGGCTTGATGGCATTGCCTGTGTTGGCAAAGGCTTGAATGATATGGTTCTGCATTATACAGATCATACAAAAGCCTGGCTGGTGACCTAAAACAAAGATAGAAACAATGAAAATCAGAGTCACTCACAAAAGTACAGGAATGTGTTATGTGAGGTCTTTATCAAGGTGGTTGACCCTCATAACATATGGGCTCATTCAATTGTCAAGTTTTACAAGCTTTATTTGGTATGTTAAAGAGCCTGTGACAGCCTCCCAACAACTGTTGTGCAATGAAATATTGGGCTACTAGTCATCTCGAACCGTCAGCTTAAAAAAGAAGGTGCGATACCGTTCCGATAAATATCAATAATTTCGAACATCGCGGGGAAATTCCTTCGACTCATTTTGAAGTTTTGGGGGAAGCCGGAAGTGACGTCAATACGGGAACGCTTCACTGTGCGGTGAGAGAGCCAAACACGGACAAAGTGTGTTGTCATGCGTAGAAATGGTGAATTACTGAGTTTAGGCACGTTAATAACGTTTTAATGAAGTTGACTACAGTATATTCATATTTGTCAGTGCTTTCATGTCAATTCGGCGAACATAAACATAAATGATCGTGGTGAAGATGATTCAATTAGGATTAAAATCGGAGCTGCTGAATTTCCTCCCGTCGGATGTGAAAACAAATCGATTATTTTTGTATTTGTAAACTCAAGTGGATGAAACTACATTTATTAGTGCTTTCATGTCAATTCGATGATTTAAAAATCGTTTGTTTGAGCCGGTCTGCATTTCCTGATGAGAAAACAAACCGATGCTTTTTGTAGTTGTAGTACACCAACATGGATTAAACGTGTGTTTTTGTTACCACAATGTTGGGGAAATTAATGGATAAAATGCACGGATTATTATTATGATTATTATTCCCACTCCGATCGGGACACTAGGTCCACCGTTTCCCCGCAGCGAGGCTCCTCCCATTGACAGTTTACGTGGGCTGGGCTGGGTGCAGTGGCGGACTGGCCATCGGGACGAATCCCAATGGGCCGGTACCGAAGTGGGCGGGTCGGATAAGTCACTAGCACATCCCCCACTCCCCCTGTTGACAACTTACTAGCGGTACCGAAGTGGGCCGGTCGAGAGTCCCGGCTGACATGACCGTATGATCGCCCATATTGACGCACCTAATTCCTAAACTTCTAACATACAACATAAACCGATCCTTCAGCCTCATATGAGCTCTCAGACACGTTCAAAATGAAACTGTGATCGCTGTCTGAGCTTGCTGCTGTGTGCGCCATCGTGCGTTTACATGCAGATGCTGGGATCCTGAACGGTGCAGCTGGAGCTCTTGGCCCGCAATTACGTCACACATAATTTGGCGGGATTTGAAGAATCTCCAAGAAGATCCAGAATATGGTCAACATTGAAGGGCAGATTAATGGTTATCAAAGTACAAATATCCAAAATCAGTTCAGTAACGGTTTTCAAGGGGACAATATTTACTAAAATTGATGGGTTTGGATGATGGGGGAAACCCGTGTCACAGGCTCTTTAATGCCTTAGTCACCTGTAATAGCAAAACATTAAGTCTGAAGTCAGTAATTCATAGTCCGCTGAATGTTTCACTGCAAGAATTCAACTTGTGGGCTTAAATATAATGGTAAGAAAGCTTGGAGTTTGGCAGAATTAAAGAGAATGACTCAAATACTCACAGGCACGGCTGTGCTCCTTTGAGAGTAAGTAGTTGGCAAGTGGCGGGGTGTAGGTGAGACACTGCACTGTGGAGTTGAGGAAGCAGGTGTTTCCCAGGTTGTGGAGACCGGCTCCCACCCTGTACACACGCTCCCATTTAAGGGTGAGCTTACTCCCTGGAAAGAGCATCTTCTGTGGGGCAGAGATCCCATCGCTCTGGCCCCCACCTGAGTTCTCTGAGACTGAAGAAGAAGTGCAGTCAATGCTGTGTCATTTTCTTTTGTGTTCACTTTTATAGCCAAAAAGTGAATATGCAAAAATGTCAAACTATCTAAATGTTAGAGTTCAATTGGATAGCTTACCTTGCCTCTTTATCGAGGCCGGCTCTGAGGCCTTCTGGCCCGTAGCGCCCTCGTTCCGGGGATTAAGGATAACATACTTGTTCTTCAGGCTGTCCAGTTGATATGAGAAACCCTTGCTGGCAGGCTCAAACTCGATCTTCTGCAAGAGGACCTTCTTGGCAGAAGAGGCCAACAGTTTGTTGAGGTCCCCCTCATCCCCCGTCTCCTTTCGACCAGGCTTTAACGCCTCTTTGAGTTTATCCACTATTGGCATTGTTGGAACATCACTGCAGAGAAAGTTGGATGTCATAAATTGTTCACAAAATCACTTCAATAGGCCCACATAAAACTACAGTACTACACAATATGAATAACACTCATTTCCTATACTGCTTCTCAAAGTGTGGTCCGCGGACCACTGGTGGTCCGTGAGCGCCCCCTAGTGGTCCGTGAGTATATTGGTAACATTTCACATTTGAAATAAATAAATACATTTAAGTTTTCCGCACTCTCACGGGAATATCTCCGCAATGGAGCGAGCTTAAGCGCAACACCTTCATCACACATATTTTGCCACTTGTTTGTACCGTTTTCAGGCGATTTGTAATCTGTTCTAGAAAAACAATGTGATTTTGGATATTTGTGGAGTTAGGTGGTCCGCGAGTGTTTTTTTATTGGTTAAGTGGTCCTTGGTATGAAAAAGTTTGAGAAACACTGTCCTATAGAGATCAATCAAACGTCTTATTGGATCTACATCAAAGCACCTCGATTGTCTTTTACATTGTCAATGTGTTGGGACTTTAAACTGTCATTATGGGAGTGTTAATGGCCCTTTGAGCTGAACAGGACCTCAAGTAAACCTTCAGCTGAGCAAATAAATGTTGAACTTATCTCTCAGATAATCACATAGGTGCCCAATAACACACTCTCCAGGCCACATATCCTGACGTAGCTCCACAACAAATATAAGGACTGAATGCATCTGAGAAGCCAGCTGGGACTTGGCAGCTGTCCCCACAGTTATGCAACACAGCAGACGTTGGTACGGAGGGTGGCGGAGAGTGTATGGGAAGGGAGAGGACAAGCATGAGAGCACAAGCATGAGAGCACATGAGGTGTATACAGTTGCTGTTAGCTGCCATTTATCAAGCCTGCGTCAATGCTTTATTGTTATCTTCCACCAATTGTTTTCTTCAGTAAATCTGCAAATCATGGAGACTATCAATCGTATGATAAAGAACATTTGCATTATATTTCAGGGGTAATAAAGAATACTGTCTGCAAGACACAGCTCAGTGATTGACTACTGGAGTGTTAAAAAGGCAGCAGGCTGACAAAATATGTTTAGTGCTGACCGAGGGGCATTCAGTATCCTCCTGCTCCAAACACAACAAATCCTCCTTTTCCAAACACAACAAATCCTCCTTCAGAAGGGAACGCATTACATCATGTTACAGTTCGACACTAACACCAAAGGCATGGAGCATCACGATCATCGTGCTCATCAGAGTGGGCATTGACGTCATAAAGAGGGAAGGAGGGCTGAACATGCATTGTATGCACAAGGGCACACTGACCTTCACGTGCGGGTGATACTGATACAACTAAAAAGCGGCAATGCCCACAGGGACTCGACTACCTGCAGCGATGCAACTGCAAGACCAGGCGGCAGTGTAGATACACTGACCACAACACAGGTTTAAGGTGGCAGAATATGTTTTTGTTTCATCACACTGCAACATTAAATTGGTCAGTTAGTTCGGCACTGTCTAGTGGCAACCTGGTGCCTGGACTGACCACTTAATCCACGTGTGACTACTGCCACCAATAATGATGCCAAAGCCCCATATGGACCAACAATACTGACAAGGGTTCTTCATTTAATACTCTCTACTTACACTATTTCAAGCAACTGCAGTGTATTTAAGATGCAATTCCTTAATATGACAATGGAAACAAGTGGCCTCTAATGACTTATATACTGGCAATACAAAAATATACCTGCTTGTCTTATATTTAAGAAGCACTTCTCATACTGACATGCTTAGAGACATCATTGGAGTTGTCAATATTTTTTAATCGGATGACATACATTAGTAATGCAATCACAGGGCAAATAACAGCAACACATTTTTTTTTTTCTAGGTTTCTGAAAGCACACACACTAGTGCATTATATTAGGACCAACACATACAAAAGATTAGAACAATTTAAATCGACAAAGTGGCATTGACGTGACCAACACGACTGACTGAATTGTTTCGAAATGTTTATTTTAGGGAAACTTTTATAGAGCTCAAATCAATTGCAATCTCTGAACCGTGCGATAATATGGCAAACATCTATTTAGTTACAGCGGCATTTGAAAAACTGTAATTAAAGTTAAAATGTTTAGTCAAATACTTTATTAGATTATCAACTCAACGACGAGAATGCTGGTTCAAACATCACAAATAGTAGGATGTGTTCCAAAATTGTTGCCACATGAAAACAAACCGCAAATTTAAAATGGACTTAATACTGATGTCAACATGTTCAATTATGTTGATAATATCATAGTAGGTCATAGAGAAGTTCACCTGGATAACTAATATGTAATTACTTAAATTGCTCCTGTCACTCACGACTGATAAAAGCACATGTAAATAACTCACGTTTTAAGATGCACCATTTGCACATATTCAGACAGTACTATTACGGTTATTGTATTTTTTTCGTCCAGTAATTCCATTATGCCAATAGTGTTGCTGACAAGAATAAAGCTGCTGGACATGTTCATGTTTAAATGAAACTATTTATAGTAACCACTAAGCACCTCAAATCACACTAACCCACTCGTGGACGTAATGCGACCGAAGGATTTTTTTTTTTTATCGAGCACCTGAAGGCAGCACAGCTACTGCTGTCACTTCTTAAATCCCTTCGCTCCCTTACGGCCCGTCCACACAGCGGCGTGCGTTGAAAGCTTCACCATTCACTTTGAATGGGGTGATTAGCTACCTAACTGTCTGACTTTTCAGTTCTTCTGGTTCGTCATTATCGTTATTGCCTCCACTAACCGGGCAGCCTCAGCACTCCAGCTGAAGTCAACTCATCATAGCCTAAATGCTAAGTTGCTAACATCGACCACAGCTAATGGTAATTCCGACCTAAAGAGTCTTAAGACAACCCGTCGTCGTTACTTCGATATATAACTATGTGATTCTATGTTTAAGTATTGGTAATTTCTAACTGCCTACTTTATCGTCTTCTGCCTATTTGCTTTAGAGTAGCAGCAGCAAATTAGCCAGCGAGCTAACTTAACGTGGCGAGAGCCTCCCTCGATGTGGGTTAGCATCTCAGCGTCCAGGTGGCTAACAATACCCAACAACCAGACAGCGTGTTAATCTTAGTCATAATGGACAAATATGATAACCCATATTACGATTTTCTAAAGGGCGATGGTTTACTTACCTTTCAGTTCAATCGTACAAAATCGTTAACAGTAGAGCGATCTGCTTCCTCGGCTGTAGCTTTTTGGTCTGGTATTTTCGCCCATGCTGCATTATCAGAGGGCGGCAACAACAGTGATTGACAGGGATGAAAGGCCAATGGGAGAATAGGTCACACCGTAGCTGAAAGGCTCAGCCAATCAACGCGTAAACTGACGCAGAGATGTAAGGAGAAAACCACACGTGACTTCCAGTCACCGCTGTTTACCATTGATGCTATCGGCGCGATATATATTACAAATGATAATATAATGTAACAACAAAGGGCGGTTAAACATCCCTCGATTGTATGCTGCAGTTACGTTGGTCTCGAATCACTGAAGCTGCCTCTCGAATACATTAAAATCCCACCAGGAAATAAATCGTTTCCCTTGTGTGTGTCAATTTCCCTATTGCTACATGGTTTAATCACATATTTCATTGTCGTAAAATACCATCATATTTCATCACAGTACACAGATTTGTAATGTAACGAATATATCCACCCCTAACCGTGAATATTAATGTCTTCATCCAGATAAATAGCTTCTCATTGTGAACAGGCTCGTGAAGGAATGTCTGTGAATGTCATATTTGGTCTTCTCCACTAAGTGGCAGCAGATTGCTGTTAAGATTTCGGAAATCAGTTCCTGGTAGCCTACTGTAACTACTGTCCCTGTCCCGTATGTAGATACTGATTTGGGTAAAAGAAATAAATACAAAATGTCACTAAATTCATTATACCGTTTTTTTCTGTTTCCTGCTGTGGGACTTGCCTACCTAGAATAAATGTGAATTCCTGTTTTCTCAGCACAATGTGTCCATTCAAACTAAAATTATGAAGTAGCTTTCTTCTGTAATTTGAAACTATATGTGAGTTGTATTTACATGTCCAGAAATAAATCTTAATTTGTTTCGATAAATGGTGAATGCAGGAGTCATGTGAAAATAGATACATAACCCATTGATGTGTAAATAACCAAGACGTAGCAGCAAAACAGGGTTTGGCATTTAATATAATAGTCAAATTGTACAGCATTGTTTCAGCTGGACATGCATGCAAAAATCATCTCAAACGTCTTATGTGAAACCAGCACAAGACATCATAGTGACTACAGTTACAAATAATCTTTTTACATTCATATTAACTATGACATTTGCTCAACACTTTAAGTCATAACAAAGGCTCTGAAAGAAATGGATGTTTGGTTACCGTATGTTTTTTAACCCAATGTCCCAAAAGATGAGCCAGTCATAGTTAACATTGAGGCAACGTTTTTTTATTTGAATGCACATTAAAATGTGTTTGCTTGCTAATACTGGTAAAATGTTTGTTCCCCTCTTTACTAAAAGTCACATCAAAATATTGGGGTCTTTTCAAACATAATATGATGAATCATAAACACTTTTTAAATAAAATATGCTTGTTCACTAAAGCATTACACAGAGAAAAGCTGTTAAAAAACACAAAATAAAGGATTCAATCCTCTTCTTGGACATTTTTCATTAGAGACAATATTACTGTTGGTTTTGTTAATCAATTGTGTTTACAGTGCATTCTTTTTTATTCAGGATTAATTAAAGACAACATTTAGCTAAATCACTGCTCTATAAAGCTTTGCCACACTGTAAAATGAAAGAAAAAAAAACATGAAAATAGTTTTTTGCATACTCTGCATAAGAAATGACCTGAACCAGGACAGGCAAAAGGTGGCTCTCCTTCCTTGATGTAGCTCTGCTCTCACAAGTCAGAGCGCCATTTGCCAGCTACTGTTATTTATGAGCACACTAATTCACATATGTTATAATTTTAATGTATGTATGTACGCTATGAATTATAGTTCACTTTAAACAAAAACGTTGGTTACAAAAATGGCAAATTAATTCCTGAAGAACTCAAATGCTATGAACATTTATACTGATTTGTGATGATTAATCCCTTTGATAATTATTTCAGCTGACGGAGAAGTGGATTATGAGGAAGTGCTTTTGATTTAGGGGTAGAAGTGTCTGAAAGTGCTGCATTTTAAGACTGTTGAATAAGACCTGTACATGAAAGAAAACAACCTTACCATAGAGCACACACCCAATGGCTTTTTAAGAAGAAAAAACGAAATAGGAATTTTACTTGGGTATGTATTTGTATTTTGGTATTTTAGTTAATCTCAGAAATCCTCACACTATCTGTCAGTGGGGGAATTAAGGGTCTTCAATGTCCATGAACTCCTTTTTGGGTGGTGCTGACCCTCTGTACCAGGCACAAGAGTCATCACTCCTCTTGATACAAGCAAAGTGTTTGGCCTGCCCTCCGTAGACCTTCTTCTCAATCAGCCAGTCCGTCCACAGGCACTCGGCCGGGCTGCTGACCATGCAGGGGATGGAGGTGCAGCGGGTGATCTGAGGATCAGGAAAGAAACCAAGATCAGGGATTACATTTACAACTCTTGCAACTCTGCATTTTTAAAAGATTATTTTAGTTTGGGGTCATTTCCCACCTTGCATCCACAGCCCATTTCATAGCGCTGAGTCAGGCTCTTCTTCTGGGTTTCACTCAGTTCGTCCCAGGGCTGAATGAAGTCACACAGTGTGATATGCATCGTCCCATCATCTTTTAGTTTGCCTGGGAGAAGGAAAAGAGCATTAGATGACATAAAACAAAGACTCTTCAAAGAACAATATTTGTTATATTTTACAATGTGGGATTTGGAATTTGGTGAAAGTTGTACCTGTGATGAGATACTCCTTGCCATTTTTCTCCAGAGTCACTCCACACACTGCAGAAGTGGGAGCGGTGTATATGGCTTCAACATCATCGCTGGGACCTTTGAACATCTGACAATTTAAACAAAGCAAAGTCAATTAAGTTTCATTAACGAAAAAGTTTAGACCCCAATATGAAAATGATAGCTTTCATTTCACATACCTTGATTTGTTTGATGTCATACTTGATACGCTTGATGGGGTTTCCATAGATGTCATTGCCAGCATCAACCTCCTGCACTCCAACTACCTTTCCCCTTATAACTGCAAAAGAGACAAACACAACCCACATTTAATTTGAAGACAAGAGTTTCAAAGTCAAACACCATTATCATGTTAAAACGGAACAGGAACTGATGCCCTGTCCAGGTTTGGCATGCTAAATACAGCCACAACTCTTTGCTGTGGCTTGGATCTGAGCATTTTGCATGTGCCAGGTGCTGGGAAGACAGAAGCAACATGAGTGTTTCATCAGCTGCAATCAGAGGGAGGAATGTGTGCTGCCTGCTCCCAGGCCGACGCAGGAGGAAGCCAGTCAGCAGTCTTTGAAAATCTGAACTAGAATGCTCTCCTTCGCCCCCAGGCCTCTCTGCCGGCCTGCCTCTCTGTCTGGATTGAGGTGCTGACATGCAAATCAGCCCCTCTTCTTTTCGTGTGAAACCTTTCCTTTCCTTTCCTTTCCTTTCCTCTCCCTCTCTCTCTCTCTCTCTCTCTTGCACTCTGAAGTTTCAGCGAGGTTTTGACGGTGGAAAGAAATAGAACAGTTCAAGTGGAAAAACACCATCAAAGCCTTACAAACAAGCCTTCGAGCTGAGTATTAAACACAAAGATATGTTTCACAATAACTGCTTGTGTCATTTGAATCTGCAATGATTACTGCCTTCACTATACTATGCTTACAATATCATATTCAAAAGTCAAGCTTTTAAGCGGACTAGCGATACAGTTAATGTCTAACAGATGTTCTCTCGGAAGTCTCAGTTCAAGTTGTGTCTTTCTCAAGGTGGCTGCCACTGACTGCCTCAGACCATCACCAGCCCTCTGCCTTACCAAACAACATCAAGCCTTTTCACTTTCTTTTTATATGATGGATGTATGAAACTGCAAGCCATATGTGCCCTAATTCTTTGACAGTAGAGTTGTAGAGAACAACTCCTTTTAAGGTTCTAGTGCGTCAACTCTAAAAAAAAGAAAGGGAAAAGGAAAGTTTGTGAAAGCACGATGTGAAGAGGATGGTTATATTCTCAAGGCAGGGGAACAGAGGAGAGCACTGACAGGATTAGCAGTCACACAGCAGAGGTAGATAGTGTCTTTTCAAGGAGAAGCCTTTCAAAGCAATTCTGTCACAAACCTACAAGTAGTCAGGGAGAAGAGGTAAAGGGCATTAAAAAGGAGAAAGGGAGGATTTAGTTTTAAAACAGGAACATTGCTAATTTCCTGTGTGCAGCAGAAGTCGCAGACAAACAAAGCTGTGAATTATTGGGTTTATGTGAACATGAGTAATTTGAGGACAGCTTTGTGAGGGTGAGGGTTATCCCTTTAAATGCTTAAATAGACAAATGATTTTCTTCCATTCATTATTTGCAGAACATCCACATTCCAGCTTTTATCATGAACAATTATTAGTCCAAAACAAGCTCAAATGTACAAACACATTAAAACATGTCTTGATATATATCTTGGTATAGTGTGCGTTTAACTCCTGAAGCTTAGACTTGATATCCTGTGCTGGTATGCAGTGTATAACTAATTCCAGCAAGACATGATTTTGTTCACTTGTTCAGGCTGACCAAGCCCTATACACAACACACATTTCATGAAACTGGGGACCAAGGGAACCATCTCATTTGCTATTACTAAACAATAAACACAATATTGTGTAGGCAGCATTGTGGTCATTGGAGTTCTTGACAACACGAAGAGGGAAGGATAAGAAAGCATTGGCATGTCATGTAATTGCAGGGCCTGTACATCTGTTCTCCTTTCTGAGAAGCCGCAAAGTGGGGGAAGACAAACACTAAATTACACATTCAAACGATTCCTTTGCTTAATCCAACCTTATTATTATTTATTACTACATTTGAATGTTTTTTCATTTCTTGCTTCCAATTGAGTATTGCACATTGGTGAGCTTTATAACATTAAATGAACCTGCCTGACCGATCGATGTAATGCATTAAAACCAGAGATGCTGGAGTATACAGCAGCTGGTGTGAGAGCATGCACATATTCTATCTGTTTAGTTTAGTCTTTCTGTCATTTCTAAAAAGATTAGCTCTCTTTTCACATAAGGGACTCAGGTACACTTAACAATCACAGAGAAAATGTGGAACAAACTGCAAATCCATAATGAGCGCA